TTTTTTTTTTAATTACTTGTGTTAATATTTATTTCTATTACCTGTGATATCAACTGCTATATTATCTTAACAAAAAACCTTCAGAAAGTTGTTTAGTTGCTTGTTATTGTGATTATAATTTCTGTATCTTGAATTCTTTGTTGTTATTAGGGTCATATTATAATTTCACATACCAACAGTATGTCTTCTGATTAAGATTAATATATACAATTAACAAAAGCTTAATTTAAAATTTACTTTCATTTACATTAGGAAAAATATATAATGATTACATCAAAACAGTACAAATGTCCTGCCAATGACAATCAGCAGTTTGGAAATGTTTTCTTACAAACAAATGCAAGAAATAAACCATTCAATAGTTTAAATAGTATACATGTCATTTGAAAAACTCAAGGTTATTGCTTTAGCATTGTATTCTTGGTAGTTTCTAGTGAAATTTTGTCTAAGAAAGTATTCCTCAAGATAATGATTTTGTACAACCTCTTTCTGTCTGCTAATAACTTAGCACCCAAAAAGACAAAAAGAATTTACTTGTAGCAGAGATGTGGTTTATCAAAAAACTGAATAGACAAACAAACAAGGCAGTCTTCCTCAAGACAAGTGACAGTCATAAACTGATTAGAAAAATTAAACGAAGACAGTCAGTGTTTTTCAGACGTGTTGTGAGAAAGAAAGAACTCAAGAACAAGGTAACAACTAGCAAGATTGATAGAAAGTGGAAGAACAGGATAGCAAATAGATAAATACCTTGGAAGCTTAGCCATATGGATGAACGAGGTGAAACAAGAAAATTGGCCTGATTATGATGATCATGTCAGATGGCAAAACATGATAGCCTATGCTGTGCTATCAATACACACGATACTGTCAAAACATGGCCATACTGAAAATGTATTCTGATGCTCAATCAATTACAAAAACTACATGTGAAATGAGTTGTCTCTGCAAGGTCACTAACAACACTAGACGAGGCAGGGTTATGAATACCAGCATTAGAGAGAAAGTTGGAATAAGACCATATCTGGATTATACTGACAGACAAAGAATGAAAAGGTTCAGCCATCTAGTGAGAATGCAGCCAGACCAGATGGCATATGTAACTTTTTACAGTAGAACATTTGGGAGAAAGGCGAGAGGAAGACCAAGAAAGAGATGGAGAAACGGTGTATCTGAAACCTGCAAAAAGATGAAACAAATCCATCACTCAAGCCCCTTGAAAACCACAAGACAAATACAGAAAACCATAAACTGCGTTAAAACCTAGTATCAGTGAGATAAAAAAACAGAAGAAAAAGAAGAGGAAATTCAATAAATCAAAACATTTGTGTCAACAAATATTTTATATTGGTAACAGCAACAGTAAGGTCCATTCAATATTGTATAAAAGTTTAATGCAAAAGCTATGATTGCCTTTTGTGGAGCAGTTTTCTTATTTCAGGTTTGGCTGATGATAATTCCAGGTAAATATTCCATTCTGCTAATAATCTTTTCACCCAGAAAGCTGCAAACCTGGCACTTTCAGTAGGTTTTATTTCCCCAAGAGTGTCTACAGTGATGTGTTTATGGGATACTTAATTAATGACAATGGTTATTGTCTCACCCATGCAAACATTTAAAAGGTCGGGATGGAAATACATTTACTAAAAAAAAGCATTTAGGGGGAGAGAGAGATATTATATATCCTTGAACTAAATGGATCTTTTTAAGCCAAGCTGATGTCATATTTTTCCATGAGCCTCAGTGATTAAGGTTACTAAGTCATGATTTGAGTTATCTGATACATACTGTTTTTTAGACCCCAGGGAATGTATTCCATTCAATTTTTCACTGTATTTATTGATTACTCCATTTACATATCTTAATACATTCTGAAACAATTTGTTTTAGATAAAGAGATTTTTAAAAGAATTCTAAGTGACCCCTGACCCCTTTTATTTTAAAAGACTGGGGGGGGGGGGGGGAATTCATAAGGGTTCTTGACTCATGTTTTCAAGTGTTCCAAGTACAAACAAGTTAAGTGGCTTCTGTATTTTGTTTTTGGTAGCTGGATAAGTGAGGAATGCAGTTTCACAGATATGTACTTTACAATTAGTAGTCTATCCATCCTTCTCTAAAATGCCTGTAGCGTTTTTCTGTTTCATTTCTGAAACTGCCCATCTAAGTTTTCATGAAATGTTTAGGTATATTTAGATATGGTCTATATGTATTTAATTCATGTGCATTGTATACTTCAGAAGTATAAGCAGACATCTAGAAAACAATACTACATCAAGTCAGTCAAGCTATCAAGTGCTAGATTTTTTTCCCAAAGAAATTTGGCTGTGATTTATCTCCAACATAATTTGTCATTGGCGTTGGATGTATATTCTGAAAGACTGCTGTTCATCCATCTTCATATGCTATTTCCAATATTTTATCAGTGTTTACCTCTTGCTTGATTTTTCCCTCCAACAACGGTACAAAATTGCATTGATGTCAGGGATGACAAAGGTCAAAGTTTATCAAAAGTGCTCATATATACTAAGACAGTGCATCCAGCCAGAAGTTATGTAATTTTGTGTATATAAGTAAGTACAAAAAATTTTAAAGGACCCTTTTCCATGCCTTTAGGCGTATTGGGCATATAGGGCTAGACCTATATTTTAAAGACCAATCTGCACAAGATGGGTGATGTGGTCAGCATCACGCCGGCTGCCCTTACTTCCCTGGACTGCACCCAGTACCCACCCAAGGCTGGGTCGACCTGGGAGCCAAGGTCATTTTTGAAAATAGTCCGGCAAACCCAGGGAGCGAACCCTGGGCCTTACAATCTGCGGCGAGCGTCTAGCCGCTCCATCACGGCGACTCCCAATTTTGGGTATATGCAAGTGCATAAAGAGTGAAACAGAAATGTTATTTACTGGACAGTGTGTATTGTGCATTTCAGCTAAAAAGACTTCTTGCTTTACTTCATGTTAGGCTGATTTATTTCTTTAGATTGTTCCTGACTGGAGTCCCTGTGGCGGAGCGGCTAGGCTCTTGCTGCGGATCCGAAGGTCATAGGTTCGCTTTCCGGCAAAGGCTGACTTTTTGGGTACTGGGTGCAGTCCTGGAAAATAAAGGTGTCCGGCGTGATGCTGACCACATCACCCATCTTGTGCTGATGGTCCTATAAAATATAGGTCTAGCCCTATAAGCCTAAAGGCGTGGAAAAGAATCCTTTACTTCAATTACATTACTAATGTTCCTGACAAAATACAGTGAAATATGAAAAGAAATAAATTGTCCAAAAGGATAAAAAAGCTGCCAATAAAAAAAGTAATACATAACCACAATGTACTAGCAAGAACAAGTATAGAAAAGGTATCACATCTACAGTGATGGTACAGATTTAGGTTCTCCATGTGAATATGATTAACATAAAATGCAGGAAAATTTACAGACATATAATCCAATTATTTCACAAGCAAATGTAAATATATGTTTAACTCTTTGAGTCCCAAGGAACGCATCATACGTTCATAGGTTCCTACCTAGAAGCCTAAAAAAAACGCATGATGCGCCGATTTTATTACGTTCTTTACTACCCCCTGGGCCTGTGATGCTAAACCCCCTGGGACTCAAAGAGTTAAAAAAAATGTTAGTTGCACCTCCTTTACAGGATGCTGTAGAACCAACCAGCATTTGTTGACTGGTTTTACGAGGTCATTTTACATTTATAGTTTGATAGTTTGTCGCTGCTGCTTTCTGAAAGGTCAGCATTTCAAATTACTGTCAAAATCAAAGCAGTCTGCTGCAAAACCACCTGCAGCTGAATCAAACTGGGTATTTTTGAATTACAAAGGGTGTTCACAATGCTTAAGCCACAGACACCGATAATGTGAATATATATGTTTTTTTTAAATTTATAGCAATTTTATGCAAATATATGTATATACATATAACATATATTCAAATAGTGTGCAAAAGTTAATGATTAACTGCTGTATCAAAAATATGATTTAAAGCAATACAAGTCAAGAAAATTACAGCTGTAATCCATAGACTGAATAGATACAATTGTTATTCTTGTCCATACAGATGCTAACAGACGTAAACTGAGAAAAAAAAATGTTTAACAATTACTAATTTAACAACACATACCCCTCAAAACAAACTTAGGTTTTCTCTTTGCATCTGTGCAATAAGAGGAATAAATTACTGATTTGAAGTAAAAGATAAACAAAGGACAAGCTTTTAATTGATTAAAATTTGAACAACGTATCAACATCATGGCACAAGGGTAGTGACCCATAAATGCACCGTTCTTCTTCTAACTCAAGCCTGAGTCTGAAGAATCTCAGCACAGTGCATAAACTCTGTTGCACCAGGCAAGGATCCTGAAATACTTTTCGGGTAGATTTTTAACTCCAAATTTTTCTCGAGCAGCACTGTTAGGCTCCTCTTCTCGATTTCCAACTGCCAAGGGATTTTTTACATGCACAACAATACACACAGGCGTCCGTTCTCACTACCCAGAGACCAGGAGAAATTACTAGAAGTCCATGTGAACAGAAAAAATCCCAGCCTTCACCGGGGCCTGAACCCAGGACCTCTAGCACTCGAGACGGACACCATACCTCAAGATCACACAGCCCCTCCCCTCTCCCTTTCAATTGATTAATTATACATTAACATGTGATCAAAATAAATCAGCAACAGTGCATAATTTTTTTAATTCAACATTATTTTAGGTTTCATTAATTTAAGAGACAGATATAGCTACTAATAATGTATACAAAATAATAATAACAAACCAACAATTCTTGTAGAGAAGTAACTAAAATCCAGCAGCATAACTTTCAGTATAAACAAACATGAACAGAAGATGTCGTCATTGGTAAATTAAACTGTAATTATGAGGAACAACATAAACTGTAATTGTGAGTATATAGTGAGTGGTTTCCCATATAAAATTTTACTGGTTAAAAAGTTAAGGTTAATAAGTTATCAATCTGATGTACATATAAATCACATACCTTGAATCATTAGTACTCGTTCAATCTTCCTGTCTTCCATTCCAGAGTCAAACCATCTAAAGAAATTAAAGAGGTAACATTTGTTAACTTTCCATGTGCTACTGACAGAATTAATAGAATAAAACTGAATGAATGAATGAATTAAGAAATGACATCACACATTTCTTGGGACATTCCCACACATGCACCATCCCTTACTTCAGCAGACAATGAATTTATAGAATTGATAGAATTTATAGAAAAGATTGTCTTTTATCTTATCAACATAATCAAAATTAAGAAAAATAAAATCATATGCAGAAATGTGGGTGAATCTCTGTGTGTGTATGTGTGTGTGTGTGTGCATGTGTGTGCATGCATGTGTGTGTGTGTGTGTGTGCATGTGTATGAGCTTGTGTGGGTACGAGCTTTTACCTGTGTGAATGTGTTTGTGTATATGTGTGTCTAGGAGTGTTATGTGTGTGACTGTACATGTCAGTATGTGTGTGTGTGTCCTGTTTATGCATATATGTGTGTGTGTATCTGTATGCATTAGTAAAATTACTTGTGTTCATGTTTGTGGTGTGTGTGATTGGATGGATTGATGTCTGTGTGTATGAGTGTACAAGTGTGCATGTATATGTGTGTCTGTGATTTGAAACAGATGAATTTCCATGCTATGATGTCAAACTGTCTAGCATCTCCTCCCTCAGTCTCTCTCTGCCCCATTTCCCCTCCAGTTTTCCTACCATCATGATGTACTCCAGATTCCATTACTATAGAGTTTAAATCAATATGAAATGTAGCACAAAGCATTAATATCTTTTCCACTAAAAATATGTTTTTTTTGTTTTAGTAGAACACTCTCTCAGATTGCTGCTTGTCCATCTCTTGGTATTGTCCTCCCGCTTGTATTGCTGTCTACCTCTTTCTCTCTCGGCTCTCCCTCCTCTCCCCAACCTATTTTTTTTAATTTATTTTTTTTGGGGGGGGGGCGGGTTTGAACAACAGATAAACATCATGGCACAAGAATAGTAACCCATAAGTGCTCCGTTCTACTTCTGACTGAGTCAGAAGAATCTCAGCGCAGCGCACGAACTCCTTAGCACCGGCGAGGATTCTGAAATGCTTTTGGTAGATATTTAACTCCAAATTTTGCCCAGGCAGTGAAGAAAGACTACTTTTTTTTTCTTCCAATTGCCAAGGAATTTTTTACAGGAACAATACACACGGACCTCCTATCTTACTACCCAAAGACCAGGGAAATTACTAGAAGTCCACGTTAAAAAAAATCATAGTATGGCTTGGAATCTAGAAGATATCTCATGCAAGTGGACGGAGATGACAAGACCAGACTGCAGATCTTACCTTCCACAGGGAAACACAAACTCCATATTTGCTGTCTTGCCTTCTCTAATCACCACCTTGTCACAGAACCAGCCTTCACTTGACTTTGTCTCATTATGGCCGATCTGAATCTTGTTCAAACTACCCAGATGTACGGCTTCAATTTCAAAAGTGTCAGCCTTTTCAAAGAAGAGAAAAAAATGCAAACAAATACAAAAATAGTAAATTTCTAAAGCACAGAAATTTCTGGAGGTGAAGAACAAACAGAAAACATCCAGATGATCCAATAAACTGACTAAAAAGAAGTTGGGACACCACAATTTGTTGACTCAGAACAGGAAAATGCAAATTCAATGCACACATGCACAGAATGAAAACTGCACAACCTACTCAGTGTCCCTGCTAAACCACACTCTAAACAACTGACCCACAGAGCATGTTGAGAAAGGTGAAAACGCATGCTTCATGCAGAGTGGCAAGCATCATTTCAGAGGTCTCGGGTATTTAGCATCCTTTGGATATTTTCTCCAGGTAATGCCGGTGTGTTAGGAAATGAGCAGGCAGAGAGACTGGCTGGTTCTGGACCATTTGATGGTAAACTGATATATGACAAGTTAGATATTGAGAGGGCCCTTTGCGAGCGAGTAAACAGTACGGAGGCACAGACAGATCATTACGGTCTAAGAAAAATGGCACTGCGAGGAGTTACCAGGGGATCTGGCCGATGCTCAACACTCAGGAAAAGGATGAGACAGATATACAATCAGACGGTTACTGGTACCATCGGATTTGGAACTTTGTGCTTGCTGCTGAAGATGGGGACTGAGCACTTCTGGGAGTGTCCCAGGTGGTGTGATGTCGATTCTAAATTCAAAATTCAACATTCAACTCTAAACATCCGAGCACATACTGCAGAATTGCTACTGTAGAAAAACCTGTAAGAAAACATTTGGCAGTAGGAAGAGGCATCGAGGAAAAACGCTGAGGAATCCTTGCACAGAAGCAACACAACAGATTAATTTGAGATTATGAAACCAATTGCAAAGAAAAAAAAGTAATGTCTTTTTTCCTCTCTTCAATGACTTCAATGACTGCAATTGACTCTAGGGCTACTATTTGCGCCTGACCCGATCAAAAATGTCTTTCACGGAAATCACGAGATTCTGAAATTTCTGACTCTACTCATACACTTGCTAAACTAAGAGGCATGCACCACCGTACTGGAGCATCATTCGCCGATATATTTCAATACATGTTACCTCTTCACTGCTTAAATAAATGGATTTAACAAACGCTGCTCCTCTTTGGTGCATGTCAAAAGTGGTGAGGTGAGGTCATTTTTAAACTGTCATTTTGATGTCACTGTGTTCGTCTGCACTGTGATGTCCCATGCTTAACACTCTTGACATCCTCAACATCAATGATGACAAGTTACAAGACAATGGTATGGTCACTGTAATTTCTATCACACATTTAAAGTCACCTCATATAATGGCATATTCCATGAATTAAAAAAAAAAAAAAGTTTTTAATCACACAGTAAAGACATTATTTGTTGTTACTTAAATAAACTGGACAAACAGCTGGTTCCTTGTAGGTAGACCAGGGATGGACAAAGGCTAGAAAATGCAAACCTGAAAAAGTTGCTTGTTGAAATTTGATTTGACTGAGCCACAAATTTTATGAAACAAAGCAGAGTAACCTGCTTTATGAGGGCACATGTGATACGGTGATCATATAAATAACTGAAATAGCAAAGTTCACATACAGCAGCACAAAACATTCACTTTTCCAAACAGACATCCAAGAAAATGAGCAGCAGACTCACCAGCTATTACATGTTTTAGATAGGCAGAGTTGAAGGCAAAAGATCTAAAGTGTGTCAAACTTTTAACTGGACAAACAACAAGACATTCAAGAGATAATGAACAACTGATGAATATCATGGCACACAGGGTGTAACCCATAAGTGTTCTGTTCGACTTCTAACTCAGCACAGTGCATAGGCTCTGTAGCACCGGCGAGAATCCTGAAATACTTTTGAGTTGATTTTAACTCCAAATTTTGCCCGGGCAGCGCCGTTAGGCTACTCTTTTCAATTCCCAACTACCAAGGGATTTTTTATGTGCGCAACAATGCACACGGGTGTCTGGTCTCACTAGCCAGAAACCAAGAAAAATTACTAGAAGTCCAAGTCCATGTGAAAAAAATCCCAGCTATTACTGAGGATTGAACCTGGTACCTCTAGCACTTGAGGCGGACACCATACCTCGAGACCACACAGCCTCCTATTCAACAGATATTGAGATAAAGGAGTCAGAGACGATGAATCACCTGTTGGAAATGGGTATTAAACGAGGACAGGCGGGCAGAAACCAGTTACTGTGCAAAGAAAGAAGATTTGCCTATCAGCTCCTACTGGGTACAATAAGCAGGAAGACACTGAGATGGCTGCTGCATCAGAGAACAAGCACAAATGGGTTGGAATGATATTAAAGAATGTCGATACTAACAAACACACACATAGATTAAAATATAAAATTGCAGAATGTAGAACTAGGTTCCAAGATGGAGATTACTGAAGATCTATGATTTGCAGCCTTCACTGCAGATATGGCACTGAATAAAGATGATTCATAAAGGCTGAGAATTATATTAAATGTATATATGTAAGTGCACACATATACATAGACACACACACACACATATATATATATATATATATATATATATATATATATATATATATATATATATATATATATATATATATATATATATATATATATATAACATAAGAACATACCTGTCCTTGTCGGAAGGGGCGTTCTCTGTTAGAAACTTTCAACTCCCGTTTGCCAGAATCTCCATAATCTCCAAACATGGTTATGTAAATCTGGGCATCAGTCTCTGAACCAGGATCCTTGCCCGTGTACACAGTGATGAAGTAACTCACAACTGGCATTACAGAAAACAGGTGTTAAGCAGAACACAAACCAGCGAGTTCTTCTTCTTCTTCTTTATCTCTTTCATCTTGTACCTCAGTGAAGTGCCGGGGGGGGGGGGGGATGTAATATTTGTTGATGAGATCTGTCAAGAGCACTATTAGGACTGATGTTCATATCTGTAAGGCTGTTCTTAATGCCATCACTCCATCTTTTCCTAGGTTTTCCGCTCGCTCTATACCTGTTGTAACATTTCAGTGTGGCAGATAGTACCAGGGTATTCTTGTTAGGTGTCCAATTCACTTCATTTGTTGTTCTTTAATTACCTGTAAGACTGGCTTTATTCCTAGCATTCATCTGATTTCGTATTCTGTCTTTCCTTGAAACTCCTGCAGCTCTTCTAAGGCATTTCATCTCCGTTGTCACAATTTTATGTTCATTAAAGGATGTAAGTGTCCACGTTTGGCACTGATAGCATAGTTTTGGCCCAAAAAAAGTTATGATAAGATTCACTATAGAACTCCGGGGTATCTGCTTGTGTGTCAACATCTCTAGCTAATTTCTCTGTCCAGTTTTCCATCGGATGAGAAAATTGCGCCCAAATACTTGAATTCCTCTGTTTGTCTTAAGGCGTTGTTTTTTAATTTAATTTCTAAATTGTCTTTCTGTCTTCCTATCACCATTGTCTCTGTCTTTGTAGTGTTTATTTTCTTATTATATACCTTCCCTTTGTTGTTAATTTGATTTAGGTGGTTCTGTAGGCATTCCGTTCCTTCTGCTATAAGTACCTGGTCATCAGCGAATAGTTAATTCTGTAATATCTTCTTCATGATTAAAGTTTGTTTCCCTACAAATGGTAACCATGTATGTTATAAAAAGAAGTGGCGATAGTACACAGCCCTGACGCACACCAGAGTTCATTATAAAAGTTCTTGACAATCCTGCCTTTGATCTTATGCAGCATTTACTACGTGTGTACAGGCTTTTGCAAATATAAATGAGATGATTGCTGATCCCCTTTTCCCCCATACATTCCCACAACATATTCCTGTCCACTCTATCGAAGGCTTTTTCCTGGTCGATGAATGTCAACAAACATGTCTTATCATGATCTATTGCTCTCTCTGATAGTTGTCTCAATTTATAAATGGCATCTGTGCAACTTCTGTTTCCTTGAAAACCCATCTGTGCTTGTGAAAGTTGATACTCTGTCATTGGTCTTAGCCTTCTTTCGATGATCTTAGCATACATTTTCCCAGTGTGACTGAGAAGCGATATTCTTCTGTAATTAGTACAGTCCCTCTTACTTCCTTTATTATTCCATAGCGAGTGATGTGTCTATATTTCTGACTAAATAATTGCACATCATGTTTGTTTATTCATCATCATGTAGCAGGTCCTTTGCAAAACGTTGCTCTCATCAGTCAGCCTGAAAGAAACTCGGTCTCTCGCCAGTGCTATTGCCTCATGTGCTTTCATACCCAAGGAGTCACTTATATTCTGTGCCCATCTTCTTGTTGGTCGGCCCCTGCCCCTCCTTCCTGGTACCATGCCTTCTGCTATAATTAATTTGTTTATTACCTGTTTGAATAATGAGGACACAAACAATACCTTATTGCATGTCATGTTTTTCTGTATTTTGTCAGGTGCACTAATGCTTCTTCTTCTTCTTCTTTTTATAGTCCATGCTTTGTGGTGCTGGTAGTCATGTCTACTCACCAGTGGCGAGGCGTGCATGTTAACAGCTGCAATCCCTGCATACACTTTCCATTGCAAAAGAAAATGCATTATTTTACTATTTATTATTGTTTACTATTTATTATTATTTTTTACTATTTATTATTATTGTTTACTATTTATTATTATCATTTACTATTTATTATTATCGTTTACTATTTAAACACCATTTGGTTTACATCTGGCCGAGCACAAAAAGCTTGTTAAGAGTATTAACATAGCAAAAACAACGTTTCCTGCATGCTTATACCTCTCATAAGGAAACTGTAATGTGTGAGAGCTACCAGTTACCAGTATCACAATGCTAGCTGTAGGTGCATTCTCTCAACATGAAGCGATGAGGAGGAATTTGTCACCTGATACCCTCACCTGTGTAATCGTTAAGTGCAAGCACTCACACATGCTAACTGAATACACCTTGCCACTGCTACCCATAACCTTCTTATCTTGTGTACTTTCAATAAATTCTGACACAGATGACCTTTCATGCTAGGATGTCAAACTGTCTAGGTTCTTCTCTCCTGGTCTCCCTCTGCCTCTTTTCCCTTCCAACTTTCCCAACGTCACAATATATTCCAGTTGCTATTACTACAGAGTTTATATCAACATGAAAGAAGTACAAAAACATGAAGCCTTGCTACTTAAATATGCAAATCACATTGTCTCTGACTTCCTACTTACAGTACAACCTCGCTTAACGAGCACCCCTCATAGCAAGCAATTCACATAACGAGCAAAACAAATTGCAAAAGAATGACTTGCTTAACGAGCAATGTTTCACATAACGAGTGGCGAGGATAGGGGTATATTGAATTAATTATTAGGAAGATAATTAGGAAATAGATTTGTATTGTATTGTGTGTGTGTGCGTGTGTGTGTGGGTGTGGGTGGGTGCGTGCGTGCGTGCATGCGTGTGTGCGCGTGTGTGTGTGTGTGTGTGTGTGTGCGTGTGAAAAGTTTAATAAAGCCTTGCAAAAATGTCCCAAAAGAAAAAGCCACAAGAAAACAGCCATAAGAGGGTAAAAATAACCACAGAAATGAAACATAAAATCATTGAAAAGTGAGAACGAGGTGTAAGCTGGCTGATCTAGCACACACATGCAATCGGTTTACATCAACAATTTGCACTATTCTCAAGAACAAGGACAAGATTAAGGAGATAGATGACAACAATATCTGCCCAACGGTTAAGTATTCTCGATGATGTTGAAAGGTTGCTTCTCATATGACTAAATTAAAAGCAATTGCAAGGTGAGACATAAGAACAAGAACATCATTTGTGAGAAGGTGAAAATGATTTTCGTCGACCTTGTTAGGAAGACGCCAGGATCATCAACAGCTGAAGAAGAAGTATTTAAGGGAAGCCGTAGGTGGTTCCAGAAGTTCAAGAAAAGAACCGGCATCCACAGCGTTGTGAGGCACGGTGAAGCAGCAAGTTCCGACACAAAAGCAGCAGAGAACTTCATCGGCAATTTTAAGAAGCTCGTAGATTATGAAGGTTACTTGCCGCAACAGGTTTTTGACGAAATAGGTCTCTTCTAGAAAAAGATGCCGAAGCGAACGTATATAACAGCAGAGGAGAATGCATTGCCAGGCCACAAGTCAAAGACCGTCCCACGTTGCTATTTTGTGCCAATGCAAGCAGCAATTTGAAAATTAAACCGCTGCTTGTTTACCCAGTCTTCAATAAATGCAAAATCCAGAAGAGCAGGCTAAATGTGATGTGGAGGTCCAACAGGAAGGCTTGGGTGATACGTGACCGTTTTACTGAGTGGGTCAAGGAATTGTTAGGCCAGCCCATTGATCAGCAAGTTATTTCTAACTTTAAGACACTAAAGCATTCTTCGAGCATTGTTTTCAGGTTATTATTTTTATCGAACACCGGCTGTGAATTCCAGTGGAAGGTCCCGGTTAATCGTCCGCTTGGACTTTTGGCTTTCACCTGGACCTGATTTTTGCGTGTACAACCGTTTTTCATTTCCCTGCCTCTTGGGCAGCTGTACACCGACTTCGAAGGAAGACGTCAGGCCTATTTCTAGGGTGACTGTGGCCATTGTTTTGTGTGGGTCGAGACGTTGCCTGATTTATGTGGTGTCCATTTTGTCGCCTTCGCGCAGGTATTGCCCCCGGAGTACTCCTTTGGGGCAGCCCCCTGTGGAACAGTTGGCCCTCAAGGGAAGGCAGGGGCAGATCATGGGCATTCCCCGTCATCCAAGGAGGCTTCCATGCATGCAGAGCCGGCACATATCGCTCTGTTTCTGGGCTCACCCAAGGAATCGTCACGTCCTGCACATGCCTGCTTAACCTCACAACCGTATCAGGCCTCCCGCTCGACAGGGGCTGCGCCCTCTGAAAGTCAGCGGGGAGCAGCCTTTGGGTTTTGGACTTTTGTGACCACACAGATAGGTACATTAGCCCGACAGAATTTCACATCCTGAATCAGGCATATCGTTGTCAGTTTTTCCCAACACTCGGGCGAGTGAGGTCGTTGGGTGTGAGTATTCGGTCTCTTTCAGTTCAGTGCAAATTTTGATGGTCAGATTTTGATCTGTATGATCTAGTTTTGTCGGACATTTAGGCTTAGCCATCTGATGGATGGTTGCTGTTGTGGTGTACCCCAGCGCGGTGACGACGACACTGAGGGTTAACCGAGGATGTACGTGAATGGCCAGCCTATGGATGGTTGTTGTTGTGGTGCACCTCAGCGCGGTGACGACGACACTGAGGGCCAACCAGGGATGCACAAGGATGGCCAGCCCATGGATGGTTGCTGTTGTGTTGCCCCTCAGCGCGGTGACGACGACACTGAGAATTAACAGAGGATGTGCAGTGGGCAATGTTCTCTTTACTCAGCAGTCTTTTAACCAAGGGTTGTAATTTTAGCTGTATGTTTGTCAACCCTACTCATGTTCCTAATGAGTTTTGATAACATTTTCACCCAAGCGTTTGGGGGCGGGCTGATGAGAGTCACAAGGACACATCACCTCTGGGGGCCGCCAAACTCCGAGATCCCCTGACAGCTCTGTTAATGCTCATTTGAGACATTATCCGTGGCGCACGACGAGGACGTGCTGTAGAGGTCTTGCGTGAGGATCTGTACAACCAGGATAGTGGAGGACTGGCGCCCGAGTGACGTACGGAGTATCTCCTTATACACATCATGTTGGACTTAACTTCCCCTCACGCCTGTGACATAAATCACCGCGCCACTGTTTTCAGGTGACCTAAGGGACCAATCTCACTCTCGGAGAGTTTTGTAAAAATCACTTCCACACC